TTTATTATCTCCAAATAAATATTATTCCCGTAATGTGATGGGCAAGCGAGATGCCAACATTTAACTGGTTAATGTTACAATCTTGTCTTACAAGTTTTTCCATTTCATGCATTCATCAGAGAAAGACGGTACAATTATGATGTTTAACTCTAAAGTAGTCATGAATAATAAATAAATAAATAAATAAGTAGATAGATAGATAAATAAATAAATATTATGGACCACCTACAAGATCAGCAAAATAACAGCTTTCATACCCAATAATGTTCTAATACCGCAACAGTTTGTACTGATCATGCGAAATTGAGTTTCTATTATTTTGACTGTTAAAACCAATATACCGGTAAGCATGCTTTTTCGTAATGGAGAATATAATCAATCACAAGGCCATAATTTTCCGCTATAATATTCTGCATTTCTCACAGTTTCCAGTTTTCTTCTACTGACCTGTCCTTAAGTTTGTGAAATTGATACAAATTCATTGCCTTTGTCTAGGATATTACTTGCAAATATGTTATGAAATGATCTGAGGCTGCTCCTCCATATGCATCTGATATGTAACTTACTGAGCCTGAGACTTGGTGCAAGCAACCAAGAGTATTTGCACTTTTGTACTGGCTGTAGGTCTGATATTGTAGTTTTGCATTTGAGTGCTTTACTATATATTGCTCAGTACAGTTTATAATACCTTCAACTTTTTCCAACAAAACACTTTGGATTGTGAGATAATGTCTCTTCCACAGTGGGCCAGTAAATAAGGGGTTCAAGTTCCCTACTAAGAAATTCTATCCATGTTGAAATAATATGGGAAACAGATGCTGCACCAAAGCTAAATGCTAATTCTTCAATATGTAAATCTAGCCATATAATCTTCATCAAGGTCATAAGCAACTGATTTTCAACTGATTTTCGCCTCGTGGATCCACAGCCACTATGACAATGTAAAGTTCACTATTTGGACCAGGTTTTCCCCTGCAGCCAGGCTTGCTGGGGCTTTGCTGGTAGTTTTTTGTTGTATTTAAATCACTGATTGTTATCTTCCCCTTGTGGAAATGACTTTACAATCAATAACAAACTAAGCTAAACTAGAAAAAACCTATCATATGTATTACAAGAAAGATTTTAA